AGGAGAACAAAAATAACCCTGCTTCTGATTAAAGTAAATAGGAACTTGGGGATTTAAAAAAAAAAAAAAAAAAGGTAAAATTACTCCAGCAATCCTTTAAGTTTTTCTTAGAGTTGCCGTGATCCAAAACAGTCCTGAAGAGAAGCTCCGTGTTTGCTCCTGTTTCTAAAGGGAGGCAGAAGGTGTAAAACTTTCCCAGTGTGGAAGGAATCCCCATCATAGCCTGCTTGCTGGGCAGGGAGTGTTGTGTGCCTGGTTTGAGCTGATTGCCCTCCGTCAGGAGCAGACCCTGTGGAAGCAGCTGCTGCTGCCGCTGCTCCGCTCGCGCCACGCGCGTGGCTCTTCCCTCGGACAGCCAGAGCCGGTGGCTGCACTGCTGGGGGGATCCAGCTGTTGGGACTGCAGTGTTTACAGAGCCGGTGGCTGCACTGCTGGGGGGGATCCAGCTGTTGGGACTGCAGTGTTTACAGCTCCTGTTCTCGCTGCACAGGTCGGGATCTGGGCGATGACAGCTCCAAAGCAAACACCGGCCAGGAAGCGCGCTTGGAAACCAGTTCTTCGTCAGACGGGATAGTCCTTCCCTTCTCCAGGTAAAGGTGTTGGATCTGTAAGGTTGGAAATGCTTCCACAGCATGACACACGCTGACAGGAAACCATCAAAGCTCCCATGACTTTTTTTTTTAATTGTTTTTTCTTTACTTGAACCTGGGTTGACGTTTGTGTTTCTGTCTGTGTAACAGCACGGAGGGTTTGAGCGCCTCAGGAACTGTCTGTGCCACAGCCAGGTGTGGTCTGGCAGCTGCTGTTCCTTGTTTAAGGCTCAGCTGACATCCCTGTGAACCACAGCCAAGCGTGTGCAGCTGCTTTTGGTGTCAGCTCAGGGCAGGACAGGGAGGATCAGCAGAGGGGCAGCCAGGGAGTGTCTGTGTGTGCCCCTCTGTGTGTCCGAGGTGTCAGTCAGGTGTAACTGATAACGCTGCCTGTGGCCTCAGCGGGGTTGTATTTAATACTGGGTGTTTAGAACGTGCCTTTCCTGCTGCACCTGAGGGGTGCAGGGTGTGCTGGTTCTATTCAGAAAGGAGAGAAAAGGGGGGTTGTGTGTGGTAACCTTTGGGTCCGTGGGCAGTGCTGTTGGATGCTCCTCGTGCTCGTCACTGGTACGGGACAGGGATCAAACCAGTGCTCAGGAAGCAGCAGAAAATGGGGATAATGCAGCTGGCTCCTGGAATGCTGGCCAGGCTTTTGGGCCTTCTGTGCCCCTGTAGGAGCAGCCCAGCAACATGGGTGCTGTGGCTCCAGCCCGAAAACCGCCGGGGATGGCTCTGGGGAAGGGACTGCAGAGCCCTCAGGCAGGTTAGGAACTCCCCCCATGACCATGACATGGAGCTTCCTGCAGGTTTTTTAGGCTGCTGTGGGTGAGGCCAGGTGCAGCTCTGCACTTGGTGTTAAAATGACAGTGTTTCTGTAATTCAAGCCCAGTACATACAGGCTGTAACCAAGTACTGATGAACGGCATTCCTGCTTTTGTGGGGGATTGGTTCTTACTATCTCAGGTTCAAGTTTTTTCTCCTTTTTTAGATTTGTTTGGGACTATGACAGTGATGTTCCAAATCATCCTACTTCGTGCTATAAAGTGCAAGGGTGCTCCTGTAGCTGAGTTTTTGCAGTGTTATATGTTAGCCCTTCCCTGAAGCCTGGAACAGCAGGAGGAGCAGGATCAGGCCCTGAGAACTTGCTTAGGGGATCACTGAATCTGAATAAAATGTGTTCATTTAAAATTAAATATTTATTAAAAAAAAAAATCTTCTCCAAGCATTATCCCCAGTGCTGCTGCACTGCTGGCTAACAGTGCCTCCAGCCACTTCTGACTCCATCAGATGCTGTACATTTTTTTTTGCTTTTTCTTTTTTTTTTTTTTT